GGAAATTGCGCATTAGAAAGATAATGAGAGAGAAGAGATTATTTTGCATGGATTTACCGTTATAAATAGGATGAAAAAGTTCTAGTAAAAGTTTTAGTGATTGATAAGACCTTTCATTTGAGTCTAACCACAATCAATTACGTTAATTATATACCGAGAAAAATGCAAAAAAAACCTCTAAAATGGCCATTTTTTCAATCGCATTTATTGTTATCAATTTCAGTGTAATCAGCACTTACAATACATCAAAATGTAAATTTTGTAACGACAAAAACAATCAGCTTTTAAAAGTTAAGATCAGGCGTATAGTTTTCGGGAAACAGTCATTTGTTTATAAAAACACTCCCTCGGGCCTAGGCTATATCTCGATTTTTAGCAACAATAACGAGTCTTTTCGACGCGCAAATGAAAGTTTAAGACTTGTACTTATACGTAGCAAAAAGTTTTAGACGGAAAATCAAAAAAATATACGATAAACCATGCAATGAAAATTCGGTATTTTTTAAGTTATAAACAAATAGACGCAGAGGGTCAATTGTAATCGTTAGCCGGATAATTTTTTTTTTGTTCAATAGCTGACATTGAAACGCAGATTTAAAAAAAAAGAATTTTTTCTAATCATTTTGATGTATTTTAAGCACCGATTGAACTGAAATTGTTTATAATAATGCAATTGAAAAAATGGCCATTTTAGAGGGTACTTTAATTATTCTCGGTAAATAATTAACGCAATCCATAAATTCTAACTTTCCTCCTCAAATATTTAATTTGACTGGACGAAACAAGTGATTTCATGTTTGCGTCTTTTACCGCTACTAGAGATTCAGGTTTGAGTTGACGACCGCTGCTCAAACATAAGAGCAAATATTGATTGAGAACCTCTTACGTCTCTTCCAACGTTAGGCGAGAGCTATACGCAAACGCTTTACGCGCATGCGCGTACACACACACACACACACACACACACACACACACACACACACACACACACACAGAAAGAGTTATTACAGCGCTTCTTTTGAGAGTGCTGATTAACAAATTACTCTTAATCATTATATAAATAATCATATATGGTTATATGTGTGGGTATTGTCGATTTTATCCGTGCTAAAAGCTGCTCCGAGTATGGTTCTGTACGTGACTCTCAGCGTCTATATGCAGTTTTTACACCCGTTTCATGTCTATGCATAAATTATTGTGCACTACGCAGTAGAAAAACAGTATGCACTCTCGTACTCGAGTTTGGAAAGATTAATATTCGAAACGGAAATCCCTCAGTCTATCTGAAGATTAAAAATCGAGAGGGGTTTGAGTGTGTGTGTGTGTGTGTGTTTTTAATTTTTTTGGACGTTGGCAGAGTGTTCGCGTTTTGTGCCAATAACAGTTACCAATTTATCTCAAAAAATTTAACAAAAATGTGTTTTCGATGTATTTTTTTCTCAGCTTTCCAATAGTGCTATCCAATTTTCCAAAATTTTCCATTTTCATAGAAAAAAATTGAGAGTCAGTCATAAATACATTTGAATTTCTTGAGCGAAGATCGATAACATCCGAAATCAACAATGACTCGAACAATGGGTTATATTTTGAATCGCGTCGCGCAACTGCTTCGACTTTTCTTTCGACGTCTTTTAATCGCGCATAAAAGGATAGTACTTTTTCGTAATAATGTTATATTCGTATAAACAATTTTATATTCGTAACATGGGTTAAAATTTCCTTTCATATTTTAATTTTAATCTTTTTTTGGTCATTCATTCATTGGGGCCGTCACCCTATAATCTCTTCGTGAAGTGATTTTATTGATGAATTTATTTGTTTTCTACATGTATTAAAATTGATATCCAAATATTCGTATTTACTCAATTGGTCGTCAATTTCTTTTTGTTTGCCTACTAAATCGTTAAGTATTGTTAAATCTCGCGCTTTTTAATTTTCTCTGGACGAGTGTTAAATCTTTGAGCAAACTGTTCACGATTTAAAGGTCGGCCTCTTTGTCTATTGTTTTATTTTCAGTCATTGTACACCCATTTCATTGATCGCACCCAAGACTTTATTACAAATATAATAACTAAATACTATTTCAACAAAGCTTACAAGCTATGTCGGCAGATGATCGTCAATCTTGATGCTGGTGGTGGCTATCGGTACAATACAATAAGCTACTTTGACACTCGCGCTGAATAATTACAGTTACAATAAGATAGTGCGCTGTTAATAAATTTCTATTGCTTCTCGCGAAATACAAGTATGTTTAATTCGTAGTCACTCTTTAAGTATATTTTATTACCAGTCCGTTTAAATCGCGGAGTCGCTTTTATAATATTTAGATCGCTCGCGCACAGAGCTTCGCTGTACTCAACTGTAAAGAATGATCTGCCCAGAAGTCCTATTTTTACGCCGGTCATATGCTAATTTATTCATGCATCTTCTCGGTGGGGGTACATCTTGGTGGTTTTCCCTTCTATAGATAAACTACTTGTTTTTTCGTTGCTAGTTGATCCGTGTCCGCGGGTCAAGCATGCGACGTTCTATTTACCCATATTTGGGCAAATGTTTTCGGAGCTCCGGTCACGCTGTGATTCCAAAGTGACCGGCCGGTCAAACTCCCGGTGATTAGGAAACCTGCGGCCGCACGTGCGAATATGTTTCTTTCTTTATATCATTTCGAAGTAGGCCACGGGTTTCACCCGCTGTGCTGTTGTCGTGCCTTCTCTGTATTCGGCTCGCATACAAGCGTGTACATATAGGCAAGATACATTCATGTGAGGGCCTGATCTAAACCTTTAAAGTCGAATATATCATAAAATAGGTCGACGACTCAAGTCTCAGCGTGCGAGTGGCCAAAGTGACGCTGGAGTCTCCGGCAATCTTCGCCGGAAGGCGAGCGATTAAGCCAGGCAAGAGTTCCAGCGACTCTCGCTTACTACAGGCCCCCCATCAAACGCTTATATTTTCTCTGTGTAGAGACACACACACTGTTCAAAGCAGACATAGAGAGAGTTCAAGCGCGCGTGTAGATTATTCGCTCCATTGAGCTCCATTATATACTAAATATATTCTCTACTTGTGTGTAGTGGAGAGACGGGTTGATGAGTCATCGTGTGACACTAGTGCTCGACCGAAGGTGACCCTGATGCCTGGTTAGAGAACCTTCTTTATTTTGTTAATGACTTTTTTTATATCAATTTGAAACAATTACCGAAATTAAAGTTCAAACTTTCAGCTTACTACACTGAAAGAAAAATTGCAAGTATGGGCTGCGCGTGTACGTAACCCATGGCTACGATTACTTTTTGAAGTCTTAGATTCCGCTATGACGAAGCGTAAGATTACAAGAAGTGTTGCGAGATGCTACGTTCAAGGTACGCGTGTGGCACGTCCGACTGGTCGTAGCCTCAGACTACGAACGTCCGATCATGAAGCTACGATCTGTGTGAGCGGGCGGAGACTACGCCGAGTCGTAGCGTCTGCGATTTCGAAAGTCGGACCGTAATGCTGAATTTGTAAATGAAACATAATAAATAAGTAAAAATTCAATAAGGCATGTTGTCAACGAACGATCTAGTTTACGCTAGGCCGCATTGCTCAAGCGTAGAGGCATGAGTGAATGCATCTGCCTCACCACTGGACAAAGTCCGATAAAAGGTGAGGATCGCAGGGTGCGCAAGCATAGAGGCTTGCGCACGGGCGCTAGGCCGCATCACCATGGAGATCGTGTTTTGTTTTTCGTTTAATTAATTTTGCTTGATTTGGTGAGCGATCTGTTCATTATTCTTCGAACTCTCAAAGGTGAAACGTCAATAAAGCTCTCATACTTCACTTCTGTTTCTTGCCTTTATTCTTTTTTATCTCACGCGTTCATTTTCACATGTTATGTATATAGTGATAGTGTTATGCGTATATTGCCTCTAGTCAAAAGTATATGGGCTTAAGCCATAGTTAGCGTGATGGTCAAAAAATTTTTTTTCTTAAATTATGTACTTTTGTCTAGTAATGTAATCTTGTCTAACTTTTTACAGTTAATGCTCCTAGGTATAAGGTTCCAGAAAAATCATGTTTGAACCGATTAAAAATTTGTAACGTTTCGGGGGTCAAAATTATCATAATCTGCAGGCTTATTATGAACAATTAAACTTGATTTTCCAAAAATAAGTAACATCGCTCCAAATAGCGTTCTATCCCGTGTATTTTAACTTTTAAAACGGTTTTAGAAACTTCAAGTGTCAATGAACAAATTATTCATTTGCAGCATATTTCCGACTGTGATTTGTAATCTATGATAAAACTAAGTTTTTTGTACAAAAGTAGAAGTAATTAAATTTGATTTGAGCCCACCTAAGTATTCTTAAGATGGCTGTAAGTCCTTTTAATTTTTATTGACAATTGAGGCGTTTTTAATGAATAAATGAACCGATTCCATTGTTATATATATCAAATTGACGGCCTTGCAAAGACGGCCTTGCAAAGACGTACAACTTTTGTTCGAAACTTTTTTTCATACAATTTACTGGTTTCAATCTGTAGTAGAAAAACCGATTTTCTTAATTTCAAAGGGCGCAATTGTTTAAATTTCAATCCAGTTGACTGTGGCATTTGTTATAACTTCATTCTTATCATCGAACCCTAACGAATCCCGGTGAGATACACCGGTAGCGAATTTTTTTACTTTCAAAACTAATTCGACTGGACTAGACCGCGCGCTCTTTCCCTCTTCACCACTCGAGAAAATCGAATGTGTGTGCATGTATGTGTGGAACTGTGTGCGTGCGCATGTATATGAGTAGTTCCAGAATCGAGTGTCCAATTTTTTGGTTAAGAATGGAAAAAAATTTCAAAATATCCTATCCTATTAGAGTGGTGAGGTTTTTAGCGTAAGCAGTTTATAAGCGCTGTGATTGGTCGTTGAGTAGCTTGCGACTCTTTACTGGCGCGCAAATACGAGTGTTAAAATAAGTTAAGAAAGTAGAATATTAACTTATTGACGGTTATAGACTTATTTTGATGTTAACGCTTTAGAACTGATCATTTTTATTATAAAATATCATTTAAATTAAAAAAATTATAAATTCATATCTAAATTACAATTTTATTCTTTAATATTTAAAAGATTTGATATATTCCATTGACAAATTTTTTTTCGTTTATTTGGAGGACAGTTAATGCGACTAGAATTATAAAGTATTCTTGCGTTAAATCAGGGTTTCAATTGAAGGTATTAGTGTTATTCATATCTTCTTCAGTGAATTTTTAATATCTTTTTTTGATCCGAGACTCCGAATTTTTCTTCTTATAGTAAAATAAATCCAACATACAATAAATAATTGCGAACTTCTACAATTTTTACTGGTCATAAATTCGAATTGGACATTCTAGCTAATACTATCTGGTCCAAAGAGTTTTGGACTCAGAGTTTCTGATACGACTGATAAATTAGACTTTTACCCATGGCATATCTCGCGTTGGTAGACGAGTCTGCCGATCGTTCTCGGGTAAAGTTAATGATCATCGATCTGATCAATAATGTTTTCTGTCGGTTCAACTCGGTACTTAGCTGCATTATCATGTCTAAAAATTGAATTTAACTTAAGGTTAAAAAATATTATTGAAAATTTGAAATTATTTACTTACATAATTTGAATGGAAGTGTCTCTTACATAAGATAACTCGTCACTGCCAATATAATCAGCTATTGCTCTCAGATAAGATCTAATTATTTTCAAG